TTGACTTGCTAGCTTGCTGCGCATTTATTGCTTGTGCAGAGCCTCCATATTAGTGACAAGATTTGACATTTATGCTTATGACAAACGTTCCATCAATCATTCGAATAAAATCTTTGTGTAGGCGATCTCTTGGGAGAAATGACCATGGAGGATGCTCCCTTGTGGTTCGGAGGCTCCTGCATTAGCTTCGGGGCTTCGGCCATTTCATACAATACTTCCACTTGAAGGCTTCAGCTAACTTCAACCAGCTTCAGCATCATGGCTTCGGCTCATAGGCCTCAGCACGTGGACCTCGGTTACATTCACAGGCCTCGGTAAAAGGGAGCCTCGGCTAGTGGACTTCGGCCTGAAGGGCTTCAGCCATAGCCCACCTTGGCAATATATACCACCTTGGCTGGAGTGCCATGTGGTTCGACCTGAGTGGGCCATTGGCCCAGGTAGGCTGGCCAAGTATGACAATACGCAACATGCTGCTTCTTAAATGTTAAAATGACCGACTCCAAAACTGTGATCGATCAAGTTCAAGAGTTTCAAGTGATCTTATGTGATATCCGTGCTGAATTGATTTAACTGGGTAAATCTTTTCAAGTGGATACTATTATTGAAAATTTTTCCCCTAGATGGAAAGATTTCAAGAACTATTCTAAACACAAGTGAAGGAGATAAATGTTAAAGATCTGATTGTTAGACTTCGCATTGAGGAAGACAACAGAGGATCTTTCCAAGGCGAAGAAGAAGCCAAATGACAAAGGGTTATTCACATCGCTTGATGAAATTGAAAATGGAGAGAAGCTCTTCATGGAAAAATCTGCTACTTCTAAGATCAAGAGCCAAGGCAAAGAGATCCTGAAGATGATCTCTGGGAAAGAGCTTACTCTAAACAAGGTGCTTTATGTGCCAAAAATTCAAAAGAACATAATCTCTGGTTCATTGCTTAGCATGAATGGCTTTCGCATGATTTTTAAGTCCGATAAAATTGTTTTGTCAAAGAGTGAACTTTTTATTGATAAATGGTGTGTATCTGGTGGATTTTTAAGCTCAATGTAGCTGTCAAGAAAAATATCAATAAAACTAGTTCTTCTGCTTATTTGCTTGATTCCTCCAATTTATGACATGGAGATTAGGACATGTTAAAAATACAATTATGAAACTTGTGTAGAGGCAAAGATGTCCTTGTTCTTCTATTTATCTTCATGTGTCCTCCAGTCTATGGTACGGTCGATTAAGACATGTTAAAAACACAAATGTGAAACTTATGTAGAGGTAAAGTTGACAATGTCATCTTTTAAAGGTGTTGAAAGAAACATTGAACCCTTTGATTTAATTCATAGTGATATAATGTGATTTAAAAGTGATACAAAGAAGAGGAAATAATACGTATTTTATTACTTTTGTTGATGATAGCTCAAAATATTGTTATATGTATTTAATTAAAAGCAATGACAAATTTATAGATAAAATTGTTTTCTATAAAAGTGAAGTTGAGAATCAACTCAACAAGAAAATTAGGGTGCTAAGAAGTGATCGAAGTAGTAAGTATGAATCACCGTTTGGTGAGTTTTGTGCTCAAAATGGTATAGTTCATGAAACAATGATACCTTATTCTCCTCAGTCAAATGGTATTATTGAACGAAAGAATTGTATCTTGAAAGAGATGATGAATGCAATGTTACTAAGTTTTGTATTGCCTCAAAACATGTGGGAAAAGCTATTTTGACAACAATCTGTATTTTAAATAAAGTGTATCGAAAAAAGGAAGACAAGACTTCATATGACTTGTGAAAAAGAAGGAAGCCTTCCCATAAGTTCTTACGAATGTGGGGATGTCTTGCTAAAGTGACTGTTCTTATGCCTAAGAATGTGAAAATTGGTTCAAAAATAGATGACTGCATTTTCATCAGTTATGCACATAATAGTAGTGCATATTAATTCATTGTGCATGAGTCTAAAATTTTAGACATACACAAGAACACGATAATGAAATAAAAAATGCTTCTTTCTTTGAACATGTATTTTCTTGTAATCTAAAGAAGAGCCAAGTTCGTCAAAATGAACATTTAAGACTATTAGTGAAGATATCGGAACTAAGAACACAAAAAAAATAAAGAGGTTCAAGATGAATTTAGACGTAATAAAAGAGCAAAGACAGAAAAATCATTTGATTCGAAATTTTTGCCCTATCCACTAGAAAGTGAACTCAAACTGTTAAAAAGGCATTAAGTTCTACTGAATGATCTTTGTGGAAAGAAGCCATTAAGAATGAATTTGATTCCATATTGCAAAATAACATTTAAGAATTAATGGATCTTCTCTTTGGGTGTAAACCTCTAGGATTCAAATGAATTTTCAAGAGGAAGCTGAAAGCAAATCTACTAGTGGATATGTGTTCATATTAGGATGTGCAACTATGTCTTCGAAATTCTCGAAACAGGCTTTTATAGCTAGATCCACAATGGAATCTGAATTTATCGTATTGGGTGAATGTGGGGAAGAAGCAAAATGACTATGTCATTTCTTAGAGAATATTTCAATGCAGTCAAAGTATATACCTACAATATGCATAAGTTGTCATAGTCAAACTACAATTGGTAGGGTACTGAGTAAAATGTACAATAGTAAGTCAAGACATATTCATCAAAAACATAATAGCATTAGACAACTAATATCTACTAGAACTATCTCCATTGACCATGTAAGATCAGAAGACAATATTGCGGATTCGCTTACCAAATGGTTAAATAGAAAATTAATTGAAAAATCATAGAGGGGAATGGGACTACAACCCATGAAGGAAAACCAACTTAGTTGACTGAGGAACCTAAGGTCAAAGTTCAAAGGGACACCTAATTGTAAAGATCATGCTGGATCGCTGTGGAAACTCATCCTATGATGAAAACAGCGATACCCCCTAAGGAATAAAGGATAGCTAAGCTTTTAATAGTACTTACGTGTCGAAATATCCGAACGAAGTAATGCAGGTTACTCTTAACTACGAGATCACCTATGTGAAAAAGAAGTGGGACTGCTTCAAAGGGAAATTATCAGGGCTTAATTCTTTAAAAATTCTCACAAAATCAGGGAGATTTTTATAGACAAATTGAATATAATTATGAGAACTGAGTTGTGTTGGAAGGATTCTGTGTGGAGTATGTCGTCGTCTACATAATTGGTAGAATAGTTCAAAGACACCTTGTCTACTATTAGCTAGTAAAGTAAACATACTTATACAAGGAAATGTTCAAAGTGTAACACCCACCCATCTTATGCAGGTTTCGATCGTTGAATTCTATCACCATGTTTGACTGTCAATGCTATTATTTTCATTCATATGGAGAATTATTGAATTTTTCTAATAAAAGTGTAACAACAAGAGTTTTCAATTCTCTAGTTAATTGTATTGGATATGTGGTTACAAAACTATAGGGGTGCGTTTATTTGCGGGCAATATTTTTGATCGATTTAGTTTCAATCTAAAAAAATATTATATTTGCCTATTTTTTATTGGTGGGTAGATAAGAGAGAAAAATGATAGGTAGAGAAAAAAAAAGAGTGAATTGCCTGAAAAATAAAAGTTACTTATTTCCAAAAAAATATTTTCCTTATTTTTTAGGAAAACATGGTCACGTGACCAAAAATGGAAAATATTTTTCATGGAAAAAGTTTTCAATTAAACACCCAAAATTAGGAATTTTGGTGACGAACGACAATTTTCATGAAAAATAAAGCTAATCAAACACACTAATAGCTATTGTAACCTAATTTGGTTTTAATACAAAATTAACTAAGAAAATTGAGATCTCTCCCATCCAAATGCTATATAAAAGAAGGTGGTCTCCTCCTTATTCCATACACCAAACTTTAAGAGCTTTCTTAATTCTCTAAAAAATTTGTATGTTTCTCTGTTTGTTTTCAAGAGTCTTGATCTTATTAGCTTAGATAATTATTTTCTAATTCAGTGATAGAATTGTAAGCATTATTATATCTCCTAAGATAGTGACAATGTGCTAGTTAGTTATTTTCAACCGTTGTTTCCTAAAAAAAAATAGGTCATCAATCATCTTGCACTTTAGTAGGTGGCGAATATATTTTAAAGATACAGTGTGCAACACAGGCCTTAATTCCTTTCAATACCGCTAGTACATTTACAACCATTTCCTCAATTTTTATTACTCTATTTTTTATAATGTTTATTTCCATTATTTTATTTGTATAATTCTAGTAATATTTCTAATTTTCCTTTTGTATTTTTACTAACAGCAACTACGTATATGACCACCAACTAAAATACTTATTCTCACCATACACAATGTTAAAACAAAGTTCATCAAACACTTAAATTGATTATTCTCGCAACTAAATTCTTTCTTCAATCCAATAAAGTTGATTCTTTTAAAAGCACAGTAACACTAAAAGTCAAGCCCTTTCTCTGACTAATAACAATTCCTAAAAACAAACTTTAATTTCGAGTAATTCACATTTCTCAAAAATTCAACTTTATTGAAAAGTACAATATTTTTTAAGTTAAAAATTAATTTAATAAAAAATATTTAATTAATAATTCCATGCAAATAAGTTCTAAACAATTTTATATCGAAAAATACAATATTTTTTTAAGTTAAAAATTAAGTCAATAAAAAATATTTAATTGATAATTCCATACAAATAAGTTCTGAGCAATTTTAATTACTTAAAAAAACTTATTTTCTAAAAATGCAAATTGTATACTTGCAGCATTAATTATTTAAGGATAAACCTATTTATACATAATTTTTGTACATTAAAGTATCCATACATTTACATGCGGTGGAGTTCATTTGAATAAAATATTAGATGGATATTATGGACCCCACTCCATCTGAATGTGAAGACACCTTAATGCACCAAAAATTATGTATGCCAAGCAAAACCCATTATTTAATCCTGGCAAACTCGGAATTTGGATTAAAATCGCCCTGTAATTGTCCATTATAGGTTGGAAAAGTAAATAAATAGTTACTATGTATCCATCAAGAATTAAATCCACCCACCATCTGTTATCGAAAAGGACTCTCTACTCAAAAACACTAATCCAAACCTCTAATTTTTGTTTCACTCTGCAAAGCCCTTGCAGATTCTGCGATGAAGGGCTCAAATTCAAGCCCAGAAAATGGAAAAAACAGCAATAATGATGTTCACAAGAGAGAAGAGGATGATACTTCTGATCACGGGCCTAGTTCCATAACCATTAAGGTTTCACATGGGCAAAACCTGTACGACGTCGTTGTACCCGCTAACTCCACTTTTGGTACTTTCTTCTTCTTTAGGATTTAGGATGTTCTTGTTATTACTTTGCAAATTTCATCTTTGATTCAAGGATATAACAGTATTTTTAGTCTACACGGCACCGTATATGTTGCTTTGCTATTTCTGTGTACTTGCTTATGTATATAATATGAATCTACGTTTGTTTATTTGACATGCGATGAATAATTTTTGGAACATTACTTGATTTTTATAGGTTTTATTCATGTTATTTGTATAGTTGTAGTTTTCGAGAATCAATATGTGCTTCTAGATAGTGTAGCTATGTTAGTATGCTGGGGTGGAGCATGATTTTGGATTGTAAGGGTGAATGAAGTGATAATATAACAATCTAAAGTTATAAAATAAAATAAAATTTTATATTGACAACTGTTATACTGATTGAAGATTAATATAACATAACATTAATGTGTCATTTTAAACAACATTGTGTAATAACGACTGTAAACCAAAAAAAAATAAATCGTAAAAAATCTCTGGATTATTGAGTTAAATAACAATGGTAAGCCAACAGAATTACATATTACTCAATCTTCAGTGGAGGCTAGACTAAATTGGAAAAATAGAAGATATATCAATCTCTCATTTGTTATTGTAGACTGTCTCAAGAAATTTAGTTCAGCCAACTTTTTCTGTCTATTTGGTTTGTTTGGTGTTTCCTTCTGTAAATTTGCATGAAAGTTTGGAGCTAAAGTGAGTGTTTTTGTTCTTGAATGCAATAGTGGTTAAAATATCCCTCTTTTCCTTCAATCTTCAGCATTTTTTATTTTTTTTTGGCCTCTTCATTTCCAGTAGACAAATTGTGAAATTGGAAGAGTTTATTCTCTTTTTGTGTAATAGAATATTATTTTTGTTACTTCAATTGATTGTGATTGTAATGATGCTTTATTTGGGTTCTTCCGTTTTTTTCATTGCATTGAAGGGTGAAAGGGAAGGAATATTATAAATCTATTTTTGAAATGAATGGCTTATTTAGTCTAATTTGCAGAATCTTATGAATCTAACATTCAAATTTCCTTCCGGAAAAAAGCTCAATAAATGATTACATCATGAATTTCTCAAGAATTGTGTAAGAAGAATAATAAAAATGCCAAGAAAACAAACACGGTGGAAACCAACTCACCTCTTTTTGCATCTAAAGGCCACTACTAATCTCAAAGTGAAACTCTGGCCTCAAAACTCAAATTTTTTCCTGACCCAAAAATATAAATCTTTAATTTAGGAAAAAGGAAAAGGGGAAACTGACCAATCATCAGGGATTCTCTTGGTGACAAGTTGTTTCTTCAGGGAAGTCTTCAAGAGTGGGGAAAATGATGGTAGAAAGTGGGTGTGTAAGGTAAGAGAAAAGATTTTTTAAGCTAAAATACTGTGTTAGCTTTAGATGATTAGAGCTTTAGGACTCTTCTACACTTACAAAAGATAAGGTCACAGAACACATTTTTGGCATTTTTTATACATCATGAGCTCCACACACATGTCTCTATCCTGGTGGAATTCTATAAGAAAAACTTCTGTACATATGGAAAAACTAAGAGCTTTAACCTTTTCATATACAAAAGTTTTTTTGGTTGGAACAAAATTGTAAAATCTAAAATTTTCTTGATAATAAATTGAAATAGCAATATGTGGCAATTTATGACTCATATATTAGCCTTGCATTAACATTTTTTTTTTTGGAGCGAATTACAGGGATTAAGTGTGTTCCCCCACAGTGTACTTTTTCTCTTTCAGTGGACTGAGTTTTTCCATTCTGAATGCTTTGCTATTTCAAAATATTTTTTTTTTCCCTCTCTGTTTCCCTTTTAATGGGCATTAAGATGATATGTATATCTCATCAATGATCACTGTTCAATTGATCTGTATTGTGACCACAATGCATGCTCATGACATGTCTACTTTATTAATTAACGTCCACTTTCTGAACTAGGATTGGCGTGCACTGTCGTTAGGTGTATGATTCGGTGCTGTTGAATGCATCAAAATCTTTCATTGTATATGGAGAATGTCATTATTTTAAAACTTCTCGAATCATTTTGGCTAAGTATTGGCTTTTTAAAGCAGGTGATCTGAAATTAATGGTTACCCAAAGTATTGGTTTGGATCCTGAGACACACAAGCTCGTGTTCAGAGGAAAAGAAAAAGAAGATAATGAACATCTTCAGTTGGCAGGTGTGAAGGACATGTCAAAAATGTTACTCATGGAGGATACAACATGCAAAGAGGAAAGACCTGTGGAAGTTGCACAAACAAGTGTGGTTTCGAGAGGAGGTGCTGCTGTTGCTGAAATAAGAAAAGACATTGATGAGCTTTCTGAACAGGTTGATTACGTTTCCTCGTTTTTTTTATTTTTAATTTTTTTATTTCTTTATTTTTTTTTTCCCTGTGGGCGTCGCTTGTTTCTTTAGACATAGTAAGTGGCTTTGTGATTATACATCAAAGGTTTCTGCATTGCAAGCTGTTGTGGATGGCGGAACCAAGATTGATGACAAGGATATTGTTTATGTGACGGAGATGCTTATGAGACAATTGCTTAAATTGGATGGCATTGAAGCTGAAGGAGAAGGGAAAGTGCAGAGAAAGATGGAGGTTAGCCGTGTATTCTACATATGTGGTTAAAATTTTAAATCTTTTTGCTTTTAAATGAAGTATAACCCCTCACCATTAATTGTCAAAAGAAAAAAAGAAAGAAAAAAAGTTGTTTCTTCTCATCTTTTCTTTTCTGTAAAGATGGATTATGTCTTCTTGAACAATTGCTCATGCACATGGCTGCAGCTTGGCCCTTCAATTTCATTGCTAAACCCTCAGATCAATAATGTGAGCTATTCCAGTTTTTCAACATAAATGACCAGATGATTTCATTTGATAATTAGATAACTCAATATCTCTAATTAAAACTTCAAAATGTATATGAAATATAAAAGATATTGTCCTAATAGCCTAATTCAACAACTCTGCCTCTGCTGCCCCATTCTACCACCACTACTACTGATGAGTACAACTGCAAAGAAGTACTGTCCCCCAATACCCCCAACCCAACCTCCACCACCACCCCCCCCCCCCATATGAGCACAACCACCAGCACCACGTCCACCTACACTCCAACCACTACCCGTGTTTAGTCAGATCCCCACCAAACTTGTCCCACCCAGACCACTCAAATTCAAACTGAGGGAACTTTCTACGACAATCAAATGAATCAAATATAAACTTGGGGTTTCCTTTTTATTTCCTTGAACTCATTGAAACCCTCATTCATGTGCAATCCATATCTGGAATCTGCTGGTGGTAGTAATATTAGCAGCATAAGTAGTTGTTGCTCTCCCAACAATGGTGTTTAATATTCTCACAAAACCCCCAATTGGTGTCATGAACATCATTATTTGATGTTCCTTTGGAATAATGAATCATAGTACCGAGCTAGATGGTGATATTCAATGTGCTAAAATTAGTTGCTTTTCTTTCCTCCCTATTCAAATCAATCTGATTAGTTTGAGGAGTTCATGGGATTTCTTTCTCTTCAGTTATCCATATTAGAGAATTACTTGTTCTCTTAAAAAATTGCCACACCTCTTTTATTAATAAATTTGCGTTTCTTATAAAATAAATAACTAAATTGAAGTCAGAATGCAGGAATGGACAAAATTGTTAACAATTGTATCGACATTTTTCTTTGTATGTTATCTATCTATCTATATAGATTTCAATATAGTTATTTCTTTACTGATATATTTGCTGAAGAATGGTTCTCTCTTATTGAATATACCTCTTAGAGTTCTATTTATAGAAGTCCTATACAGACTTGTATATTAACCAAGAAAATCTATTACAGTAACGTTTATATTCTGTTCAGGTGCGCCGTATCCAGAGTTTTGTGGAGACGATGGACATCCTCAAGTCGAAAAACTCCAATCCCTTTAGCAACACTGGCAATTCTGCTTCAGTTTCGACTGAGTGGGAGACATTTGAATCTGGTTCTAGTAGTGTAAATGCCCTGCCAACTGGACCATCTTCTACTAAGCTAACTCATGATTGGGAACAATTTGACTAGTCCATTTCTGGATTGTACTATCATAATACCAAATGAATTCAAAATACTTGCTTTGTGTTGTTGCTAAATTGACATCTTTGATATTTAAAACCTTTTCTTTTGGCTATAGACTTGGTAAATATTTTATGTACAGACAAGTGGTTTTATTACCTATCAATCTCTGTTGGTGCTTATTTATATTATCCATTCTTCCCATCAATTAAGGGGTGACAAACATGTTGAGTCGGCTTGGCCTCGTTTCGAAGCCAGACACCCTTTTATTTCACGAGATGAGCGAGCTCGACTTGATCGAGCTCATGGGTTGACTAGTTTTTGGACTTGTATTATTATTATTATTATTATAAAAAAAGAGTCGGCACGTGGATGGCTCGTTTGAATCCATGATGTTCACGAGCCAAAGGGCTTAACAGAGGCTAGGTTTTGGACACAAGTTGTGCTAGGGTGTCTAAAGATTGAGCAGGCTCAGCTTGGCTCGGGTTCGTACAGAGCAGGTTGGCGACTGTAGATATTATGAAGTTTGATGGTTGTCCTTCGTCAACAATTAGTGCTTTTATATTTTCAACTCAGTTACTCCCCCTAGTACTTCCTTCTCCCACCATCTCTCTCCACTGATTGATGTAGCAACGAATTATATAACTCCACTGGCTGATGTGACAGCGAATTCTATAATTATTTTGAATGATCTCTTGAGCACAAAGTCCAGTGAATTGTTTGAATTCACCAATTTTAATCAAACTTCCTGAGGTACTCAAAACTCAAAATCTGCTTCTTCAAAAAAAAATTAAAAAATTCAGCCCATAATTTTAATCCCCATCAAATAGGGTCTTAAAATAAAAAAAAAAAAAAAAAAAAAAAAAAAATTCGTCGACAGCAGGATTCAAACCTGCGCAGGCAAAGCCCAACAGATTTCGAGTCTGTCTCCTTAACCCCCACGACATATCGATGGTGCTGCCGAATTTTTTTGTGAAATTTTTAAATATCTAAAGGCAATATAAGAAATTATCTCAGTTTTGTGCTATTATAAGTAGGCTTTTCAATCATGGTAACATCTTCACTCGGTTAGACTACAATGGCTTAACGAGTTTATCGATTAAATAATAACTCAAAGTAATAATTTTTCACGATCTTAACATTATCATTTTACGGAGATCTTACTATATTTGTAACTTTTTTCTGCTTTTTGTAGAGAAGGAACAGTATTTGTTATTTTTTAACAAATAAAAGAGTGTATATGAAATTTGTTGGTGGCATTGTGAAGTCGATAAGCAAATACACTCAATTTGGGTTAATTACGTAGTTTGTCATTAAAGTCATTGAAATTATTTTTTTCACTATAATAGTTCCTCAATTTTTAAATATTACACTAAGGCCTCGTTTGATTGCACGAAATTTTCCATGGAACTTGAAATTCGAATTCCAACTTCCATTTTTGGCCTGTTTGATTGACAAAATTTTCCAATGAATTGATTAACTATGAATTTCTAGGTACAACACCTTAAAGCGTGATTTTTCACCTTTTATTTTCCTAAGGGGCAGGTGGTTTTTGGTTTTCCACCTTTTTTTTTTTTATTGTTGGCAATGAGAACAAATTTTATGAACAATTGTAAAAGACGATATCCCTGAAATTGACATTTTTTATGTAAAACAAAACCAAACGAATACCAAAATATAGATAATTTTTTTATCTTTTTTTTTTTGCCTTTTTTTTTTGTTGGCAATGGAGACAAATTCTAGGAATAATGGTAGAAGTTGATATCCCTTAAATTGACAATTTTCATGTAAAACAAAATCAAATGAACATCAAAAACACTTTTATTTCAACATTTTTCACGTGAAAAATTATACAAATCAAACACAATAATTTACAATTTCCAAGAAAATAATTTCTAGGTAATTCAATTCCCTAAAATTCATTTTTTTTCACCCAAATTCCATCTTCGCAATCAAACAGACCCTAATAATAATTT